ACAAAATAAGATTATTAAGTAGTAAATTGTGATAACAAATGGGATTAATAAATTCATTTAATAAATGGGATTTGTCTAAAAATATTATTATTAAAGCCTAAGGCAGAGTAGTTTGTTTGTTTTATTATAAAATAAAATCAATTAAATGAATTTTGCGATATGAATATTTCTCTAAAAATATTTTTTTCCTCATCAAAAATTCTTTTTTTCATAAAATTTTTTTTAAAATAATTTTATTAATTATTTTAATATTTAATTTTAATATTAAAATTTTTTTCTTAGATTTTTTCTTAATTTTTCTTGTTTTTAAATTGATAATAATTTTTTTTTGACAAAATTTCTTATTGCAAATTGTCGCAAAAAAAAAAGAAAAATTTGAGTGTAAAATTCGAGTTTTAGTCGATATTTATATGAAAAATGCAATAATTCTTTATCGATTCTTTAAATATACTTACTTATACTTACTTATTTTGCGCATTTCTTTAGAAAAATAAATTTTAAAGTTTTGAAAATAAATTTAAAAAAAATAAATTCGAATTAATATCAAAATTTAAAGGTTTATAATTACAATTACTACTGCAATTATTTTGAAGAAAAAAAACACTTTTTTAAAATTTATTAATAAATATTAAAATAAAAATAGATATAAATGAATAAATTAAAAGCAAAAAATTTGGAATAAATATTTTTTCTTCTTTTTTTAAATTTTAATAATAATTTAATTTAATTTATTTTATTTTAATTTTTTTAAATTTTAGCATTTCCCTCTAATAATAAATTGTTTTTTCATTGCATGCAAGTATATGCATGCATACATGCATGTCTTTCTATTTTTAATCAATGGAAAATCCAACAAAAAACGCCCTATAAAATAACGAAATTTTATTTCCTTTATGATCTCTGAAATATATTTTTTTTTTATTTATATTTTATTTCTCGTGGAAATGTATTGTAGAAAAAGTACACTGATGTTATTGAGGAAATTTAAACGATATTTTTCAGCGGAAATACTAGAAAAGTCAATTACCCGGTCTGTTTCGTCTTATATGACATCTGTTTATAAAATGTTGACACTGTTACTAGCTTAGGCATTTATGACGATAATGCCTTAGCAAGAATTAAGGCCTTAACAAGAATTAAGCCTTTGTTTATATTGGCACTTAATTTAATTTGGCTTCTTTCTTTTACGATGTTGCAACAATAATAAAGCAACTTATTTTATTAAATTATATAAAATATGCTATTTTATTAAAATGTAAAATGAGTAAATATTTTCATAAATTTATAAGAAATTGTATAAAATTAATGGAAAATTTAAAAAAATATAAAATAAAACATTAATTTATATATATAATGAATTATTGCGCTTATAAATCCTGAAATCATGAATTAATCTCAAATAAATATTCTTTGGGCAATTAATCTATGAATTTCTTCAAATCATTTGGGTATTGCATAAGAATTAGCATAATTAAATTTTCCTTTCAACCACTGATACACCACTGATAATGAAAATAATCATTATGTCAATGCACCATCAAATCCAAATTATGAAAAATATGCCACTGGACCACTAAGTCCAAATTGTGTTGTGAAAGATTCCTCGAAATTTTATAAAAACATTTTGTCTGCTTTTTTTCAAACATTCAATGGAATTTTAAAAATGATTTATTTGCACAGTTTTGCACCGAAATTTGCACCATTCGTTTACTTAAAAATTCTCATTATTACAACTTTTAATTTCCTCATTTTAACTAAAAATTCATTCATTGATCATTGGTCCATAATTTTTGCTCCATAGTTTTCTTTTCACTGAGATCTCCCCGTATTTCTTTGCGAATATCTGGTTTCACTCACTATTAGAATAGAGCTATTTTATCGTGGAACCACTTCTGAAGAGAATTACAGTGGTTCTTCAGCAAGTACTCGGTTTTCGAATATCTCAAAAATTTATTAATTAAAAGTTTTATATTTATATTTAACTTTTATATATATTTATATTAATTGATAAATTTTTCTAATTAATAAATAAATAAATTGAATTACAAAATAAATATTTCATAATTAGCAATTTTTTTTATTCTTGCAAACCGTTGTTCTTTTTTTTTCATTTAGTATAAATAAATTATTAAAATAATTATTTTAATAAATAATAAATTATTATAATAATAATAAATTATAAATAATAAATTAAATTTATTAAATTAAATTTAAACAATAATAAATTATAAATAATAAATTAAATTTATTTTAATAAATTTTTTATATATTTTAAATATTTTAAAAATATAACTTTTATTTTACTCATAGAAATTCGTAAAACTAAAAAATTTAAAATTACTTTTCAAATTAAAGCGTAATTTTTATTATTAATTTCGCTAAATATTTTTATTTTTTCAAATTTTTAAAAAATTTTTTTAAAAATATTTTTAAAAATATTCGATTTACTCGATAGTTATTTAATAATTTTGTGACTATTATCAGTTCTTTTTTATTTTTTTTTTTATCAACAAATAAGAATATCAAAAGAATAATGTACGTTTAGTTTTCATATGGCGATTAAATAATCTTTCTTCTCCTTCTACTATCCGCCTTTCATTATTATTGGTTAGGTTAAAAGCTTTCTCCGTTGGACTACAAGTTTGAGACGACTACAAATTATTCGATCCGATACCATCGCTGATAGTAATAATCGAAGCCATTTCCATTCTCTTTTCCATCGTCTAAGTCTATACGTTTAAAATTATTGAAAAAATCTGTAATTATAAATTTTCGAATTATTATTTCAGAGTTTTGAAATTGAAAATGAGAAATGTACAAAGTTAAAATTACAAGTAATAATGAATGCAGTAATAATGGACAAAAAAAAGACGACTGAAACTTGTTATCGACAAAGGAAAACTTATAGTTTGACAATTAAAATTATTATAGTGCTCAGTATTTTGTCATTAATTGCAATTGCTGGTAATTTATTTAATTGATTATTTTAAATTTTTTATAATTTTTAATAATATTTAAATTTAAGATTAAATAATATTTTTATTAAAATTAACTATTAAATTATTTATTGTTAAAATTAAAAACATTAATATCAAAAGTTTAATCAAATAATAATAATATTAAGAATTTAATAAAGGAAAATTTAAAGAAATAAGGAATATTAAAGTTTTTTGGTGATTAAATTATATTTTATATTGAAAATATAATCAATTAAATCTATAAAATTTATTTAATTTATTTATTAAAAAATATTTTTCAAAATAGAGAGGGGAGATGGGGAAAGGGGTGTCGGTATCGGAAATAATATGATTTAGATGAAAAATTATCTTATCTTATTTATCGATTCGGTTTATTTAATCAGACCACTAATCATTGAATGTGAAATTGAACGTTTGATAGTTAGAAAAGAGGCGCCCAGAGATTTAAACTTTAAGGCTAATTATTTGAGTCTCATTGAAAAAAGAGCCATAGCCAGTCATTTAGTGTGGAATTAGCCAAAGCTGAGAATGGTACACATTGTATTAGAGGAACGAAAGCCCTTAGGCTACCAGTCAGTGAAATTCTTGCGTGCTGCCAATCAAAAACTGATTTAAATAATTTTATGAAAAAAATTTATTTTTAATTCATATTTATTTTAAATCATCCTAGTTTATATAACAATCGCCTAAGAACTACTGATGGATCCTCGTCTCCTTATTAGTCACTCTAATTTCGTCTTGGCTTTCAATTCACCTCGATTTCCAGAGGATTTGCTTTTCTTGTGCTCGAGAAAATCCTTGATTTGATTTTCATTTCTTCAATAATTCATTTGTTTGTAAAATTTTAATGAAATTTCAGTATATGTAGTGTATGAAATTTTTAAATTTTATTTTATTGGAAATGATTTTAATGAAAAATGGCCAATTCATAGCGCTGAAGATGTCGATTATCATAAAAAATTAGTCGATTTTGTTAATAATGCTAATTCAACATGGAAAGTTAGTCGATTTTATTAATCACACTGCACCGTAGAAGATAATCTTTTTTTTTAACTGCCTGAAGCCTTTTAAAGTCTTAAAGTGTTTTAAAGTGTTCCTATTCCTTCAAAGCTTTCGAGATTCCTTCAAAGAGTCCTCTAAGCCAAAACCATTTTCATAAAGGTGCTAATTCATTTGCCTTTCCTTTAGTTGTAACCTTATGATTAGCTCAGTTTATTCGCATAAATTTTGTAAATGAGGATTTAATTTGAAGTTAGCTATAAATGATTCGATAATGAATTATTTTGGGGATTTCTTAATTTTATTTCGAATAGTTGATAAGGTAAAATTGATAAAAAATTATTTCTTAGTGGATTTTAAGGAGATAATAGATTCACAGAAGAGGCCAAAAATTTTGAGAAACAATAAAAAAAAATTGTTGGAAAGTTGAAATTAGAAGAGAAATTCTTGCTTTAAAATGAGGAGATATGAGAATATTTATGAATTTGATTAATATGAGGAATTTGAAGGATCAAATTTTTCTAAGGTCTGAAGCATCTTCCATGGCGGGCAAAGTGAAATCACTGATTATAACGATAGCTATACTCGTTATGTAAAGTCCAAGGAACTGAAATCAAGGAATTGAATTCATTTAATGGTCAAAGCGTAAAGATCTATAAATTGCCCTTAACTGGCTATTAAGATGAGATCTCTTTGCTAGAGAATCATTTCGGAATGGTACTATTATATTATTGTTAGGGCGACATCAACATCCTTATTTCATTTTTAATAATAGGCTTACAGTGCTGATTCCATTTTTAATAACAGGTTTACTCTTGCGGAGAAAAGTGTTTCTTAGGGGTTTCTTATGATAGGATTCTTCATAGCTTGGCCTTAGGAGTTTTAAATTCTCGATTTTCCCGTCCCTAAATTATGAAATCATATTTTCAAAATACGATCATACCCTCAAAAAAGTCAACTTTTTTACGTCCCAAGCATCGACGTACTAAGTCAAACATCCCAAGATCGACTGGGCATCATAAAATGGCACCGATATTCGAAATAAGTGTTTTTATAAATAGATTCATCATTTGGATACTAATAGGTATCATCAGTCGTTACAATTTTGAAATTATTTTCTTATATCTTGAAAGGATTTACTAGGAATTTATTTAGTGTTGCAAAAAAAAGATTATGCTAACAGTTGCAAATTGAAGGCAAAATATAATCCTTTCGCATCTCGAGCTCGAGCTACAGATGTAGATTTTGACGATATGGTTAGAATTGCTGATAGTAATAGAATGTTAACCAAAGAGCAATTATATGGCGATACTTTATCTCATTTAACTGTTGGTTCTTATCATATATCAAATTTTCACTTTCACACTGGAAACAAATTTGTCCTAAGTAAAAAAGTAGGAAAATTCAAATTTCTGATTGGGACGGTTCCACTAATTGTTCCGTACAACTAGAAGTACGATTTTTACCAGAGAGTCTCTTGGCAATAGGCGATGGATCATCACCATTTCCTATTCTTTCCTTATGCTGCAAAATATTAGATTAGATTTGCAATATTTGTAAAAATTCACTTAAAAATTCTGAATAGTAAGAAATAATAATCTTTATAGGGTAACTTAGATAGAATAATTTTATCTATGAATTCAAATAATACCACTTTTTTTTAGAACTTATTAAGTATATCTGTGAAATTACCTCAAAATTTTGATTCACGTGAAAAATGGCCATTATGTTGGTCAGTGCATCAGGTGACGAATCAAGGTGGCTGTGGGTCATGTTGGGTTCGTTTTTTGAATTTTATCTCTTTTTTTATCATATCATCAAGCTTATCAATTTTTTTAAACGATAGTGAATTTAGGCGATGTCCGCTGCTTCAGTTATATCCGATCGTATTTGTATTGCATCGAATTACGAGAAACAATATCAAATTTCTGCTCAAGATCTTACTTCATGTTGCACAGAATGTGGCGGGTATGTAAACAAAGAAAAAAATAAAAAATATTTCATTTTTTAGTTCAAAGATTTTTTAAACTTTTTTTTTCACAAAATTTCTCGATAAACAAAGCATAAAGTTTTTTAATAAAATACCACTAAGCAAACAGTAATTTTTAATAATTGCATATAAATATTTTAGCTGTCAAGGATCACACTGGGCATTAGCACCATTTACGTATTGGAAAAAAAATGGCCTTGTTACTGGTGAGTTTTTAAAATATATAATAATTTGATTACATCTGCAAAATTAATCATATAATATATGACCGGGGGGTTGGAAAAGCTCGGTGAGTTGTTGCTCAATGCTGAGATTCGATTGCCTGCAGGAGTAAACCTGTTCAAAAATTCGAGTGATGCTGACGACTCACCTGTATTTTTATCGCCAAGGGACTCCCTGGTATATTTGTCCAATGCGACAAACCAGAGGAGCGAGTTTAACCAGTAATGAGATTCTTAAAAAAAAATGATGACTTAGAGTCTCCTAAGACTAAATGGCATTTTCCTCAGAAAATCGTAGAGAGTAATAAGTCGAAGATTCTTTTCATCCACCCATGTGACTTTTCAATCCAGACAGGCAAATAAGTACTGGGCCAATCAACTAGTTATGGTGGTCGACAGGAATCAGAAATCAGTAACGGTCTTTGATATCAAGCGATCGGAAAGTCAGGAAAAAGGAATATGAGATGTTAAAGAAATACCAAGGGCTGCAAGAGGAACAAGAAAATATGCGAATAATTCAAGTGATAATTAGGGCACTTGGAACTGTGACCCCTAAACTCGGAAAATGGCTTCAGCATATTCCAAGAACGACATCAGAGATCTGAGATCTATCCAGAAGAGCGTATTATTAAGGGCCCTCAATTTTCCAAACCTCCTCCTCTTAGAGAGCCGAAGGTTGGGGATGATCTTGGCCAGCCTCAGGGGCTGATAATAAAATTATGATAAAGTTTAATGCAATTTACTAAATTATATATACTATTATTATTATATTATTCATTAAAATATGTAAGTTTATCAATAAAATACAATTTTATTCTAAAAAATTATTAAAAATATGTAAAATTTTATGAAATATTTTTATTAGTTACTGTAGTTTTAATTATAATTTTATTCAGTATATTTTATACTTTCAATTTTTATAAATTTTACGAAATATTTTTTATTCAATAAGTAATTGAAATTGTGAAATATCGTAGAACGATGAGCGGCTGGTTTATAATTCCATTAAAATTAATTGAATTTCGGATTCGTCAAATCAGAAATTTTATTTTTAAGTACTTTGGTCTAAATAATTAGTTTAAAAAGATCGTTGACAACAAATAACATTAAAAATTCGAATTTATAGCAGTAAAAATAAAGGTTAGGGGGGGAGGGGATGGAAGATGAACGGAAAATGCAGCCAGAAAATTTATTTGTTGAGGTTATTTGATATATGATAAAGAAACGACCGATATAGGATTCTAATAAATCTTTGGTGGTGATTCTGGTGAGTTTGAGTTGAAAAAAGGAAGACAAAAAGGAGTAACGACAAATAATGCTAGAATGGCATTTATATCCCAATTGGATTAGACAATTACCGTGTTTCACCACAACTAAAATAATTTTAATTAACTTTGGAAAATTCATTTCTCAAAATGAAAATAATTAATTTGGATATAGACAAGCCAATATTAATTTCTTCTTCCTCAAACCAATATTAATTAATTTTCTCAAATGGTAATTGATTAGAATTAATTTTATTTAATTAGTTCGCAAGGGATTTAATCAGTAAGTGACTTGAGAGTGGTTCCATCGTAATTACTTTTATAATAGGTCTCATGAGAAACGATAAGAATTAAATACGTTCATTTCAATGTTTTTAATGCTTTCAACATCAACTTACAGGTGGAAATTATGGTACTTTTGAAGGTTGCAAACCTTATTCTATTACACCGAAATGTGGAAGTCCATGTTCTACCGATTACTATGAAAAAAAAGCAACACCAAAATGCGAAAAGAAATGCCAAATATTATACGGAAAAACTTATAATGACGATATTATAAAGGGTTAATTTTATTAATTAGAATAAAAGTGTAATCTGAAAATTTTGAATTTTGAATTCTGAAGCGAATTTTTTGGTGAGAAAAAATTATGAAAGGGATGAATTCAGGTAAGAAGGCTTATTGGCTTCGAGGTAACAATGAAACAACGCCAGCAGTTCAAACATCTATCACTCAAGCTATAAACAATCGTTTGTTTCTTTTTTATCTAAAAACTTTGAAACATCTTTTATCAGCGTATTGGGGCATAGAATGGCCAAGTGGGTCGTTGCTCAATTCGGTGATATTGGAGCGCTGATCCTAAGGTTCCACACTCTCCAGGAGCAAACTAAATACGGTTCAAAAATCCGTATAATGCTGGCGAATAACCTGTATTCTATCGCTAAGGGAGTCCCTGACATATTTATCTAGTGCAATAAGCCAGTGGAGCGAATCTAACGAGTAAGGGCTCCTAAAAAAAAGTATCGTGTTAGGATCAATTATAGATTTTTCCCATTGATACAGAATTTAACGAATCCAAATCCTAACCTTTCTAATTTTTAAATATTTTCCCAATACTCAAATATTAAGTTTTTATAGGCCTTAAGGATTGAGGATTGAATTGGATTATTCATTTTCGTATAGGGCAAAAATTTATGAGATTTTAGTTACTTTGTCACATTATCCACATTATCCAATTAATATGCTTTTTTGAAGATGATCCTATTGACCTATTAAAGCGAGAAATTTTCTTATATGGACCGATACAAGCATGCTTTACGGTGCAAGAAGATTTTCAACATTATAGTTCAGGTAAAAATTGCATTTCTTTTTCTTCCAAAAGTCCATTTCTGGTTAATGGTGTTTGTTAAATAAAAGTGTAAAAGAAAGCCGTTTTCCAAGCCTCTCGATCTCAAGCCACATCTAACATTAATTAAAGCTGCCGTTCCCTTTTTAACAGTCGTTGCTGCTGCTTAAAGATGAAATAGCAATTTTGATTACAAGAAAAATTTTTAATTATTCTCAGCAAATTATCATATTTTTATCATATCACTTTTATCAAATAAGTCGTGTTAAAGGAATATATCATCGATTTAATAATTCGGATTCGAAAGAATTATATGGACATTGTGCTAAAATGATTGGTTGGGGGAATTCGAATGGTACAGAATACTGGTTATATATGAATACATGGGGTCGAGAATGGGGTGATAATGGTAGCGTTTTCATAAAGTTTAATAAAAATTTCTTCAGTATTAGATCTCTACAAAAAGTTTCATTGGCCAAATTTAAATTGTAATAATATTTTTTTTAAATAAAAATATTTGAAAAATAATATTTCTACAATTTATTCAATAATAAATATATAATGGATAATAAAAATAGTAATGAATAAATTTTTTGCCTTATTTAAATTAAAATTTTTAGCAAGAATTTCTACAAAAATTCAAAATTTTAGGTTTTTTTCGCATAGCTTTAAATGAAATACCGGAAGAAGCGATTGCTGGATTACCGTGATTTATTGATCGTGATTAATTTTATTTATTATTTTAATAATTTTATTTTATATAATTCAAGCTTTTATATTAATTAAATTTATGATATACTATATATTTACTATACTGTAGAAATGCTTGATATCTTCGATCTCTATGAAGCTTTTGTTTATAAAGATTATTTTTCCGAAAAAAAAAGTGAAGCGAGTACCAATCGTACTAGGTTTTTTCCGTCTATAAACATTTAGCATATATTATTTGTAGTTTTTTAGATTTAACGAAAGACAAATTGTTAAATTGTTCTTATTCTCTATTCTATTTGTAATTCCATAATTTTATGATTTTATGAAGAGAAAAGAAATGTGGTATCTCTGGTACTTTCTAAATTTATGATTTGAATTAAAACATATTAATAAAAAAAAGAAAGGAATAAGGCTTCCGAGAAAGAAGCCAGAAGCCAGAATAAAATGCCATTATTTTTGGCCAAAATTGGGATTCATTTAGTGAAGTCGCCTGAAGTCAAAACCGTGAATTTGAATTAAAATGAATTTTTTGTGAATTTGAATTAAAATGAATTTTTTTTAAAGTTCAAATCATAATCAATTTCCCAGATTCTAATCTTTTGATGAAAAAATCATCTGAATTTTCTTTATCATTCATTATCTGCCAGTATTAACGATTTTTGATTTCCGCTGTTTGTGACTAGGTCGGGGTTCCACGATTTAGACGAATCTTTCACTAGAGAATTAGAAAAATAAAGCATCACTGAAATGGTACAATGGCTTAATGAGTTGGTACTTTCATTGCGAAGCTCTATTTACCAGAATGAGCGAAGATTTTCCAAGAATCCAGGTTATGCTAGCGATGATGTCACTGATAGTTCTATAAGCAAGTGATTCTCTGGCAAAAATCTTGTTTCGATAAGCCAGCACAATAAGCTCTATCAGAAATAGTGAAAATGCTTAGAAAATAAGATAATGATAATAATTTACAATTGTATTTATAACACAATTGTTTACTTTCCAGTTCCTATTCCAGTTTTGTTTCTTTTTTTTTTCCTTATCTTATTAAAATAATGCAACCAATAATAGTTTTGACATATATATAGTTGTTAACATTCGAATAGTTTCTTGAAGCGATTTTCTAATCCGCTCGCGGTGGTTGTTTAATTGAAAAATTTGAAAAAATAGGGCGGTGGTGTTCTGTTTAGGGGGTTAAGCGGGAGATAGGGGAGAGGGGCTTCGAAGTTTGTCGGTATTCGATTTAAATGTGAACTTATGTAGAACAATTTTAACAACTTGAGTTTTATTTTTAAATGTTACAGTTTTTTTGATTTTTTCTCTTTTCTAATGAACGAATAAAGTTCCCCTCTCCTTTTTTTCCACTTTTTATTGTTATTCCCGAGGAGAGGGGGATTCAATGGATTGTTTCGGAGTGAGAATAATGGAGTTTTTTTCTCGGCAGGAATAAATTATAAATATTCTATTGATGCTGGCGGCTTGGCTATCTGTTATTGCTTCGCGGCAAAATTTATCTCGCCCGATAAGCTAGTGGAGAAAGTGGATAAATAGGAATTTTTTTCTTGAAGAGTCCTCATCATCACTGGTTAAACTCGCTCCACTGGCTTGTCGCAATATGCCAGGGAGTCCCTTGGCGATAGGAATACAGGTGAGTCGCCAGCATCGCCCGGATTTTTGTTCAGGCTTACTCCTGCGTGGAATCGAACCTCAGCATCAGCGCCCCCTATTGATCAACAACCCACTGAGTCATTCTATCCCCAAATAGAAATGGTGGTCGCTTAAAAAAGTCGATCTTATTCCTACTAATTAAATTGAATTAAACTACTAATTACTAATTACTGAACTACTAATTAAATTGTTAAATTGGTAAATTAAATTGGTAATAATTTTTTTATAGGTTTATTAGCAATAGAAATAATAAGTTTAAATAAATTCCCTTTTTTCTTTATTTTTAAACGTTTGACCTTTCTAAGTTAAAAATTTTCCATACTTAATATTAAACACAATGGTGTATGTTAATTAAATTGGTTCATAGGGCCATTGTGGTCTGTGGTCTGAAATTTCGATGTAGTTTATTAACTTTATTTTATTTATGTTATCAGCTGCAAAAATTACGGTTATTATAATTATAATCTAATAGTTTGCGTATAAAATTGTTAAAAATTTTTTTGATGATACATTAACCAGATTTTTAAATAAAAATAATTTATATTACGTAAAGTTGGAGGTGACACCTTTCCTATTTCTTGAAACTGTAGAAAGCTTCCTTATAACCTCTTTATTTTGATCATTGGCTCTCCAAAAATCATATTATATATAAAAATTCTTCCACTTACCATTTCTCATTTAGTTCGCTCTATTAGATATTATGAACAAAAGCGTTAAAGTTCTGCAGTTTATCTTGTTTATTCATCGCTTACTTTATTATTAATCATATTTTCCGCTGAAAAAGATAATTTTATTCTAAAAAAAATTGCATGATTTACCAAATGGTATTATTAATTATTCGACATCATTTCAGGGGAATGTTTTACGCCCAGTTTGTTTTATCGAAGAAGGGCTCTCTTGCTAAAATTTGGCTTGCCGCTCATTGGGAAAAAAAATTATCAAAGGCGCAAATTTATGAAACAAATGTGCAGGATGCAGTTAAGGAAATTTTGCAACCAACGGTTCACTTTATTCACTTTTTTAAATTTTTTTTTTTAAAGAGTCTGTTTGGGCTTATTCCTTTCGTTTTTTATGCAGATATAATTCTGTATGTCATCAAAGGTAATTTAATGAATAAACTCTATATATAAAGAAATTGCCTTATGTGATATCAATGAAGCCTATAGGAGTAATTTAATGCTTGAAAAGTGAAGTTTTTTAGTATTAGAGTGACATTGATTGATTTAATATATTTTCTGAACGATATATATTTTTTTTTTAAATTTTTTTTATAATTAAATAAATTAGAATTATAAAATTTTTATTTTTGCAGGTAAAAATGGCACTTCGTACCACTGGGCATTTACTGTTAGGTATCGTTCGTATTTATTCTCGAAAAGCAAAATATTTATTAGCAGATTGCAATGAAGCTTTCTTAAAAATTAAAATGGCCTTTCGTCCTGGGCAAATTGATATTCCTGATGATGAACGTCAAGCGGCAACCAGTGCCATAAATTTGCCTGAGGTAAATTTTTTATTTTATTATTGATTAGACCTATGAGCATGTCTTGTTCTATCAACCTTCAACTTTCATCATCTTTGGTCTTATCGATTCTGATTTGGATTGTTACTCTTGCTGCTAAGTTTCCTTTAAATTTAAGATTAAGAAATTCTATCACCAAAGATCAATTGAAATAGAGAAATATGACCAGGTTTGTCTGAGATTTTATCAAGTAAAGAATGATTTTACTGGTTTTCTTCATTATATTTGATTTACCAATTTTCTTATTCTCTTAATTATTCTCTTATTTTAAGGTATTTCATGATTTTGATGCAGCATTACCGGATTTCAATGATTTGGATATACAGACTCATATGCAAGTTAATCAGAGTCGTATTGACGATATAACTCTGAAAGAAGATCTTATTCCAGAATCGACGGATATTCCATTCGGAGGAGATTTTGGAGTATGTTTAACACAATATTTAAATTATCATGATCAATAATTTTTATTTCAACGTTATTCGAATTATAATCATAATCATTTAGGGAGATGATTTTGGTGAAAACTCGCTAGCATTTTTTAATAATGTGGAAGAACCTCGTGATTTATCCACATCAGGAATAGACCGACTTGAAGCAATAGAAGGCACTGGTACAACACTGGAAGAGACTCAAGGAGGAGAAAAATTCCAGTCAACTTTCACCGCTAAACCAATAGACATCGATGTTGAAGAACATTTTGGGATGCCTGTTCCGGACGATGATTTTGGTGATTTCGGTACAGACCACATAATTGATGGTTAATTTATTTTAAAAACTACTGAATTTATATTATAAATTTATATTTCATAAAAACTGAATTTTAGATGACATTTTTAACGAAAACGAATTAGCGAAAGGTATCGATGCAATCGAAGCACCTGGAGCAGAGAAAGAAATCGCTATGGAAATTGACGATATTGCTGGAACTGGGATAGTTGGTATGACTATTCTTTCTTCAGTTAAAGGAATTTCTAGTTGACAGAATCACGAAATGCAAATGCTTTACTTAAATTATTTAAAATTGCATTTGGGCATTTGGAATGCTGAAAAGCAAAACGTGTAAATAAATAATTTTATTTGCACATTATTTCCTAGAAAATTTTCATATTTATTTTTTATAATTTATAATTTTTCATTTTTAAATTATTGCTGAATTTACAATAGGTCCACTTGTAAGCGACAGTTTTGCTCTTGAACCATTAGATGCTGCTGCTGTAGCAATGGCAGGTATGGAAAAAGCTGGCCGCGCTAAAAAGAAGCGAAAATTAATAATTGACGAACAAAAAAATATTTCTGGCGAGGAAATGAAAGCTAACATGGCTGATTTTAGGTCAGTAATATCATTTCTTATAGTTGTGGATAACTCTTATAGTTGTGGATAAATTTTTAGTTTAATATTTTTATGAATTTTTTCTTATTCAAATTATTTTTAGAGACACTCTTCAGCCATTAGATCTTGCTCCTCCAACAAAGAAGCTCATGAAATTAAGAGAAGTGGGCAATGTTGAATATTTGTTTCATAATCCTGGTTCTCCATCTCTCCTAGCTCCTGCTATTGTAAAGGTATTTTGTTTCCCATGAAATTCTGATTTTTTTTTTGTCGACTTTTAGCATTTTCCGAAATAATATATTTAATAATAATATATAATATATTTAATAATGATATATTAATAAAATAAATAATATATTTAACAAATATATTATTATTATTTAATATAATGTTTTTTATTTAATATAATATGTTTCTAGCTGTATCGTTCCCATTTGATGTTGCGAGCACGAAATGAAGGTGCTATTACTAGCGACGAAATTAGGCGATTGCTTGGCATGGTTGATAATGTTGAAGTTGAAGGCAGCATCGGATTTGCGGTTAGTTACAACTATAGTGTTTTGTTTAATTAAATGTAAAAAAAAAATTCTGGTCGATTTTTCCATGAATATTATATAATTTTATTTTGGGTAGAATGATCTTGAATTTCCAATTTCTATTCTTTGCAAGTTAGTTATCGCTAATACCTATTAACAGGACGATCATTCGGATGATTTTGATGACAATGGAGCTGACATGTTGTCACCTGTAGGTTCTCCTATAATTTCGGGCCTAGTACAAGAAGAAGAACCACCGATGCAAACTGATGAAATTCCCCAAACATCGCCGAATAAAGATTCATTTATTGTTGAAAAGAAGAAAGAACGAAGAAGTCGTGCAGATGTATGTTGCGGTATTATTATGTAGAAAAAAAATTTATCAAGTCACGTGTGGCAATTTTTTAATATTATTTTAATACTGTTATCAAAGAGCATTTTTTTTAGCGTACTGCTGATGATGATGAAGGTGAAACGGAAGATGAACACCGGTGGACGAAGCGAACTCAAAATGTCCTTGTCTCTATCTCAACAAAACTGAAAAGTTCTGTTGATAACCAGGTTAATTTTATTTTTAAAATTTTTGAATCGATTTTCTGTTGTAATTTTATTGAAAAAGCATTATTGTCACTATTTACAGCTTTTTTTATATTTCTAACATTTTGACAATTTAGATTACATTATCAGATCTTCTTACGAAGGGTTCCACGAGGAAAACAGTGGCTCAAAAATTCTATACATTATTGGTATTAAAAAAGTGGCAAGCAATTGATGTTTGTCAAGATGCACCTTTTGGTGAAATCAAAATAACTGAGGGTCCTTGCATTGGGCAATTTTTATCTTCCTAATATTTTCGTAATGTTTCATTACTTTTCCTATAGTTTTTCATTGATTTATCCATCATTTTTAGAGTTCTCATTTCTAATATTTCATAATATTTTCAAATATTTTAACATTTTATACGTTTGAAGATTGGTCGCTTCCTTTGCTTTTTTAAACTTTTAAAATATTTTGCATTTGAAAATTCGCAGTTTTTTCTACTTTTTTACTGGATTTCCCTTTTATCATTTTCTTTTATCATTTCCCTTTTACTGGTGGAGAATTTTTTTCGATTTTTTACAATTTACTCAAATTTCGGAAATTTCGGTTTTTAAACTTCGGATATTTATCATCTGTTTTTCCATATTACGATCGATTTAATCTATTCCGTTTAATTTAACGTAAATTTTTATGAATTTTTTGCATGTTTAAATTTTTTTTTAGTTTATTAGGCTAAATTCAATTAAGTTATTGCATTGAATGCGTAAAAAATTGAGATTTTTCCAAGTTATCGGCCACACATTTGAGCAATCGTATGCAAAATAACTAGATAGTTATATAGTTTTTTCTCCGGATTATCCAGTAGATTCTTATTAATAAATGAAATAATCATTATTCATGATTTATTATTGCTGCTATTTGCCCAAAATTTTCAATCCATATTTGTATGAAATGATACATATGAAATTTTACTTCTTTTTTTTTTAAAGCTTTATTAAGCTTTACTGAAGTAATTTCAGTTACTTCTCTTTATTGTTTTATTGATTCATATATTTTTTTATCATTTTTACCATTTTTTACCATTTTTATTACTCGTTTTAACACTTGTATACTATGATGCTGTTCTATAATTTTTTAAAGTGTCGTTTTATCTTGTTATTTTGGAAATCCTATTTCGTCCTACTTTTTATATTTTTTTTTATATTTTTTATTTTCTTTATATCTTCAAAATTTTTAACGTGCGCAAAATGTGCGGGAAATTTCTTCCGATTCTTCTTCCAATAACGGTGGCATTTTTTATTTGACTAACTGCACTTACTTGGTTAGGGTGTTCTGGAGGAGATGGATATTCTTTTTCTTCCAAAAACATTATTAGAAATAAGTCGTAAGAGTGATATGCTTCCAAGCCTATAGAGCTGATGCTACATCTAAAAGTAATAGAAATTACTCCTTCTATGCATAAACCTATACATACATCGTCTTCGCAACCAAAATCTTGACGGTTATCTGGAGCTAATATAATTTTTAAAATGTTACATTGATCCTCAATGTAAGGTCCTCAATGAACAAAATTTTTTAGCATCATACTGCAATACCACGATTCCCTAACCAGGCGTAATTATAAAAATTATGAAATTACTACTGTTATTGTTAAACTGATGAAATAATTCATTTCTAATTTTTTAGTTTTCGAAATTTTGTAAAATTTGTAATTTGCTATTAATTTTTTAGACTTTTTATCGGTTTATTTTTTGTAATATAACGAGGCTTATCCGCTAAAATAAATAAAATCGTCTTTCTTGAAATGAAAGTACAGTTTTTTACAATACGACAAGTACAATCAGACAACAATTTTCCATTAGCAAATTTAGTTGAATAAAAAGCAAAGAACCTAAAAATAACAGGAAAGAAAAACAGTTGACCGAGCAGTTCGGAAAATATTATCACTAAGACACTAAGAAGAAGCTAATGATAGTAGTGATTTAATTAATGATAAAAATAAATCAAATCTTGTTCACTAATAGTATAATTTCGTTCAGAAGAATCATCGTTATCATAAAAAATATGCAAATAGCATTCGAAAGGGAATATTTAAATTAAAATTTACTTGAAAAAATTTTTTAATTAAATTTTCTACTGCTTTTATTTATTTAATTTTTAAAATTAATAAAATAAAATAAAAAATAAATTTACGAAAATAATAAAATGTAAAAATATAATGATAAAATATAAATTTTATTCCATATAAATATAAATTAATAAAATATAAATAATAAATAAAATAAATATGATAAAATGAAATATAAAATTGAACTGAGCAGCAAGCAATTTAAAAATAATATTAATAATATTTAATATTTTCTATGGACTTTAGGGTTCGACACGTTGTTCTAAAGCGAATCGCCGCAAGAGAATTATTCCCAGTTTAGACCAGTTAACGTAATCAATTTTCATACTAGTGGATTGTCTGAGATTTAGGATTACGTCTGTTAACCGTTTCCAGTAAGCGAAGACCGCAGTTTAACAAGGAAGGAATGGAATATAATCCAATTAATTTTAGGAAATAAATATATTTGGATCAAATATTCGAGTATGGGGGTTCGTTGGGTTCAAAATCGCGATTGAATGCAGCCCCATAGTCCCTGCGGAAATATGGACCACGGCAGCTGCGATTCTGCTTCCGTTGGTCGTTGGTCATTGGTCATCTATATAGTTTGCAGCTGACCTCATGATTTATCGAACTGACATCGGTCATTGTATGGATTTTTAAATTTTGATATTGCGTGGTCACGATTTTTGTCTATTCTCTATATGGTTTTTATAATTTATATATTTGAATGTTTATAATTTTATAATTTAATTTTTATTTCTTTTCTTGAAATATTTCTCTTTTCTTATTTTCTTATCAAAATCAAAAGTTTAAATCTCTAAAAAAATTTCTAAAATAGTAAAGGTAATTTTTAAAATAATTATAATTGTATAAAAATTGATGATAAGCTATCAGCGATTTTTGATCCTTTTATCAGTTAGAAAAATCGTCTTAATCGTTTTTTTCTCTTTTCCATTATTGATATAATTTTTCGAATGTCTTTTCTCTATCTATTTGGTGATAAATCAAATAATTTCAGCGATTATTTTTAATGGTGCTCTTTTTTTGAAAATGGTCCATATTTATTAAATTTGCAGTAATTGGACTGATTTAAATTTTTTTACCCATTACCCATACCCATCCATTTCTAGTTTTTGCTGGCCACACTAACCGACTATAGATTTTTCTAAAAGAGTAGTTATATGAGGAGTTATAGAAATACGAGCAAATCCAAAGCATTATTCGTATTAACCTTTAGAAGGTTTATTTCCACTCCATATAATAGTTAGTCAGTGACATATAATTTATATTATATTCTTTACCTAATATTTTATGGATTATTTAAGTAATTCGCATTATGGAATTCAGTTTATATTCAATTAGCAACAGAATGGCTTAGTAGGTTATTGTTTTCCCTTTGGTGCACCTATGGTGATGCTGTTATTCTACTATGCGACTGAAGTAAATCTAACCTTCAAAAATCCTAATGCTACTGATGAATGGTATGAAAATGTATTTCTTTGAAGTAATAATTACTATATTCCCTCACGTCTTTAGCTCGTAAGATTCGTTATCCTTTTTTCTAAATATAACACAAACAGAATAAATAAATGTATAATTTGCGCAAATTTTATAGTCCAAAACTATTTTTCTTTTATTTAGCATTAAATAAAATGATTGCGAAAATAAGCATGATGTGGTTATAGTCATGAAGGTGATAATAATGATAAGTGTTTGGCGACCATTATTTCTGGTTAGGCTTGCTTTGCTGGTTAGTAGGAATTGCCTTGATTAGAGAGCAATTGAATATCAAGATTTTTTAATGCCAGGTTTTCTCTTGTCAGAGCTAAGTGTTAAGTATCTCAACACGACAATCTCGGCCCCCTCCCCTCCTATAATGTCAAAATTCATTGAGTACTTGTTCATCGTTTTTTTCATTGTTTTGTTTGATTTAATACAATTATTTTCAGTTCATAAATCGATAAAAATCTAAAAGCTTGTGGAATATTTCGAAGTATTCATATCATTGTTCTCCGAAAATTTTTGCTCCGAAAAATCTCTAAAGTATGGCAAAGAATCCAGGTGAAATGGATATGTCAATGAAAATGAAAAATAATGAAAATGACGAAAATAACGAAAATGACGTTTCGATTTCAAGGGTGCTTGAAGCGCCGCTTGGTCCATTCTCAGCTGTGGATTTAACTATAGGTTGTATATCATTTTACTACTTCATTTTACTACTATTTATCTTCATCTTACATTTTGAGACTTTTGGTAGGATTGAACTTATATTTTAAGAGCCTGAGTGATCCTGGTGATTCGATCACCAATTGACCAAAATTTGCCTCAGGCAAGTCAGAGGAGAAAGCTAATCAGAAATGGTAGCTCTTAGAAGAAAAAATATAATTATTTATCAATAATTATTTCACATTAATAATAATTATTATTTATAAAATAATTATTTCTAATATTTAAATAAATAACGTTTAATTTAATAATGTTGAGGATAAATTTTTAATGATAAAGTAAATATTTTAACAAGAAAAAATATTTTGTATAATAAACAAAATAAATATCAACAAATATACAAAAAAATTTTCAATAAATGAGCGATAAATAAGTAAACTAAGTAAACTGATAATTTAGTGCTTATCACCAAAATTTCTTATCATTCATTTTTAAAAAAAATTGCTTTAGATGGACGATTGCTGTGCTTCCATGAGAAAAAAGATGAAATTATTAGTATAAATATAAGAACTGGACAATGGATATCTTTTCCACTTCCTGAAAGCTTATGCTTCCAGTATTTTTACTGGTCAAATTTGATATCCTTGTCCAGGTTATTCTTTTATTTTTATTAAAAATAAAATCTTTTCTCTAAATTGCTATAAATATCGTTTTCATTTTCCGTCTTTTTAAGTATAACATATTTTGAAATACGATTGAAATACGAAATACGATTGAGTCATATTTTGCTCCAGTTTATAGCAAATATCATGGAGTTGAGTCCATTCTTTTGGTAGGGGTAAGGAAGGCTTTCATTAAAATATGCTTTTATTCGTGGATCGCCGGTCTAAGAGTTGTGCGATAGTCACCAATGGTACCAACCAAAAAAGGAATGGTGCATGCAAAAAAAGAAGATGGATTTAACGAAATTGAATGCTAAATTTTTAGAGAAATTTTACTCGTTCTTCTAAAAGAACATAAAACACGTTTATATTACCTCGTAACGATGAAATTAAATTTTGAAAAAACAATGGTCACAATCATTTCGAAATCAAAAACAACGATAAAGCTTACCGGATATTGTGTAAGCATTTCGATGTTTATTAATTTTCGGATGCTATTATTCGGGTTCCATGGAAATTCAATGATTTTTCTCGGACTATATTATCGCTAGTACCAAGAAGTATCAAGCCAGAAGCCCTCTGACCTTAGCAAACCACAATTACTTCAAGCTAGTCAAAGCACTTTTAGCGATTTTTAACGATAATTAGCTGAAAGATTTAGCGATTAATAAAAAATTTAATAATAAAGAAAATATTTGAAAAATAAAATTTATTTTAGGTCAGCGCTCAGAAAATAAAAAATAACGAATTATATTTCGGCTTTTGTGGGCAGAAATTATTTGAGAAACATAAGAGAGAAAAAATTTCTGATATGGAAATTTTTTTAAAACAATTCGCTACTCGAAACGGTCATTCAGCCAAACCAGGTCGTTTAATTTTCCTAATAATCTTGTCGTAATAAATGAGAAAAACGACATTTATTCATTCATTCACTAATAGGCTAAGAGCACCGTTGAGGGAATTGTTTGAGAATATAGAGATCGAATTATCATCGCGGTTTTTAAGGGTGGACTAATTCTCGTGGCGATTGACCTAACTGAATTTGGATTGGTCCAACTTCTTATAACTTCCCCAAGGGCTAAAATAAAGTTTATTTTATCTGAAAACCAAGGAGAATTTTATTTTTTAATCGATTTATTAAAAAATTGAATTCTTTTTCAGCTACAAATAGAAAAATCGTAAAAAATAATGAAATCGAAAAAATTCCTGAAAATTTGGAAAAAAGTTCTAAAATAGTGGCAGTGATTTTGAAAGTCAATTGTGATGATCGAGGAAAAATTAAGGTTCAAAAATTTTTTGTAAATAGTTTTAGTTTTTGGATTTAAAATAAAATTTCTTAAAAATTTATATATTTTTTTTAAATGATGAAATGTATAATTATGTTTCTAAGAGCATTCGCCATTTCTGGTTAGATTCACTCATTTGACTTATTTGAATGGGAAAATTTTGCTAGGGAGCCACTTGACGAGAGACGGGTCGTTAGCATGGTCCAGATTTCTGTTGCATCTAGATTACGTCAATATTCGATTCTAGTAAGAGTAAATCTAGCATTAAGAAGTATCCGATCATGTGGCAGTGGCGAATCTGCCCTATTTTGCAGCCAGTAGAGGGAAATACCTCACTGGAATCGGTTAGTGCTGATTCAGTTTAATTAAATTGTAAATTATTATATATTGTATTGTATTAATTATTAAAGATTATAATTATTATAAGATGATTTGTAACGATACTCATTAATGCGATTTTAGTCTAGAATTTTGTCCTTAGGACGAGCTCAACGCTTTTCCATCAGCGATGTTTTTCTACCAAAAATGGGTTTAATAAATCTATTGCTACATTTTGCAACATCGTTACCTACAAAGACAAAGTTCTTTTTTTTTCACTTTTAACAAACTAGAAAGTTCCCAGAAAGTTAATTTCTAATTTATTATTTTTATAATTTCTAATTTTCAAGACTTACGCTTTGGAAAAAATTGCGCATTTCCTCATAACAAAGGGAATTGGTAAAAATTCTTCATTGGTACCATTTTTTTTAGAATAGCAACGTCATCAGTTTGTAATCCATTTTATGCCAATGGATTTCTTTATTTTATCGATCGTATGAATCCGGAACAAGCATTTGCCTTTAAAACATTTCCAGTTCCAGAACGAGGACTTATTGCCTCTTTTCAAACGAGGTTTAAAAATTAATCATTTAATTTAATTACTATAAGTAATCAGCATTTATCATTTCTGGTTAACTGATTATTAGTATGATAAGATATCCTTGCTATAGGTTCATTAGAGAATTACCAGTGAGTCCACAATAGCACCCGTGTCTCTTAAAATAAATTTACTTCTCTTGGTGGCTTAGATGATTTTGCTAGATTTAAAATGCGATGAATATTCTAGAATTTCTCGGTCCGGATTTTTTACAAATTGTTCACCGAAAAAAGCAGCGATTGATTGTTCATCCGGTATGCCATTTGTTGGTGACGAAATTATATGGAGCAATGTTCAAATGTTCAACAACAGTGCATTTTTTCTTGTACAAGTAAGTATCGTCAAAAGCATTTTTAGCATTTCTCCTCGAAATTCTATTTAAAAAAAAATAAATTTAAGGATCTGAAAATTAATACTTGTGTGCTGTGGCGTGTTCAAGTAGATTCAATAAAAACAGTAGAAAATTCGAAAGATTACGAAGTATGAAACTTTTATTTCATAAAGTTGTCTTTTATCTTTTACAAGCAGTAATCACTATTTTAATTACTATTATAACTTTTCCACAAAATTAAGATGAATGGAATCAACAGTGATAAAAATTCAACTAAACCAAATGATAAATACCAACATCGTGCAGTTATTCGTATCAATGATTCCGACTCAATTAGTAAGTGTTTTTATGTTTTCTTGCAAACTTTAAAAATTTTTCATTATTCGTCTCCGGCATTTTTCTTGGTTTCCAGCAGAAGTATAGATGGCTTCCTTGCATCTAATTGCTAACTTTATCATTTTTATCACTATAACTTCTATTCTTTAAGGCTATAGTAAACATCCCCATAAGAATGAAAATATTTCAAATCTCAAATTCTCAAATTCCCTAAAATGGCAAAAAATTCAAGAATTTCATGTTTCAATGTTCAATTTATTCGACAATAGTGCATTACTGTTTGACATAAAAGAAAATTGCGCATTTGTTAAAGGTATTAAAACTGACTATAATGGCAAATCAATTGGCCATTGTTTCATTTCCTTTCATGTTGAGTACGATTTCGAAAATAAACTTCTTTCAGTCGCTTAGGAAGAAAATCTTAGAAAAATTTTAAAAAAAACTGAGAAGGAAATTCATTTTTTCATTTTTCTAATTTATTTGGTAAATAAGCTTTCCTATTAGCAATTATATTTTGTTTTTTATTATTTTTATGTTTTTTATTTTCTTTTTTTGCGATTTAATAGAAAATGGCAAATGCTTTAGATATAAGTGATATCACTATTGCTATCGTTGAAATTTTGCCATTTAAATTTCCTAACGAAAAATAAAATTCTCCTAAAAACCCTCAAATCTTTGAAATTTTCTGTAAAATTGTCAAACGTTGCATTTGACATTTAGTTTGACATTTCTCTCAAATGTTATATATACATTTGGGTAAATATGTTCATTTGTCTATTGAGTTTTCTGCGATTTTTCTTAGGGAAAGAAGAAGAGATATATGATGAATTTTGCTCAAGGCGACATTTGAGAGAAATTATCAGAGTTCCTTAAAAACTACTGAATAAAACCCTCAATTGGCCTTCTCTACAATTACAAATTTGCATTTCAACCATGCATATCAATTATATCTAAAGCGTTTGCCAACTTCCAATAAAATCGTACAAAATGAAAAGTACAGTAAAAATAGACATAATTGCTTATATATCAAATAAAGACCCTCAGATGGCCTTTCCTACTATTAAAAATTTTTGCTTAATTATCTTATCCAAATGAACGTAGTTATAAATATAAATATTCATTTATGTTCATTTGACAATTCAATTTTTAATGATTTTTTGTAAAAAACAAGATATTATATTTTTAGAAAAAATAGCGGGGTTTCTCAAAATACCTGGGCTAAGGCCCCCAGGTGGCCATCCTTGGTTTCATGAATTCATCAAAGACCCGCGGTCAAGACCTTTAGGTAGCCTTTCCTACAAATTTTATCTTAACTTTATCTCAATAGGATAAATATTTCCGATCATTTGACGGTTTTTTTATGATTCTTTGTAAAAAAATGTGATTTATGTGACATAAGTAATTTATGTGAATTTTATTCATAAATTTTGTTAATGGAGCAATATTTTGCAAGAAAAATCATAAAAAAGTGGAATCCCTCAAAACTTAGGTTAAGACTCCCGAAATCTTCCTTAAAAGACCTTCAGAGGCTTTCCGGTTACGACTCCAAGATGGCTTTCCCTCCTCTTGCAAAATCTTCTTATGATTCTTTTATGGTATTTTTTAAGATGTCATATATGTAATTTATGTGAATTTTGTGAAATCTGCCTCAAAGCCTCTCTGGTGGCCTTCCCAATTGCAAAGTTTGCCAAATGAAATTGGGTAAATATATCCATTTGACTGTTTGAAATTTTTATGTTTTTTTGTATTAAAATGAGTATATATATATATACTCATTTTAATATATATATATATATATATATATAAGTTTTATTCTATATTTTATTATTATTGAATAAAACTGCTAAATAAGTTGCAGAAGAACCAATGGATAAACAGGTTTCTTATGAAAACATTATAGAACAAAACAAAAAATTAAATGATGGCAAATCTAGTCCTTAAAATAACAAAAAGTTAAAACTCGTATCTGCCAGAATAGCAAAGGTTCCCAGTTAGTTACATTATGTTTATTCCTTATGTCCCTTAAATAAGCTGCCGAAGAACCAATAAATAAATTATTTACGAGCGTGGCTGAAAAAGAATTCCAGTTGGGTTCCAGTGGGGTTTGCAAGAGAAGGAAAGAATTTCCTTGATGTTAATTCATTAGCAGAATTTCACACGCCTGGAATCATGTCTTATAGGCATTGTAAAAAGTCATCTGGAACATTTTATCGATCCAGATCGTTCAAAAATCCGTATTTCAATTTTTTTTCGTGAAATGAAGGGAAAAGTTCCAATATTAATAATTATAAACTGATTTTATAAAGCAGGTGGATGAATTGCTTTAAGAGCAAAGCAATTCCCAAGAAACGTTATAGGACCTACTGTGATCGAGGAATTAGCTTACTATACGTCTCAGGGAAAATTTCTGTTTCCGTTTTGCTCGATGGACTTATAGCAATAGAAGAAAGGTGGACCTAATCAAATTGTATTCAGATCGAGATGCGATTGTGCTGATCACATATTCATGTTAAGAAGGATGTTGGAACATCGCTCTGAACTCTTTCTTTGATAATACTTCATCAGCCTCATGATGGTTGGTCAAAAGCGGAGAAGGCTGAAGTAATCAGGCCAAATTTTAGGCTCAGACCCAGTTAGAAATAGGGAAACACGGAAAATAGAAACATGGTTAATCAGTGATCAGTGATGGTACCAGCCCTTAGAAGAAGATTAAGAGGAAAAGTATTTGGTATAGTTGCCCCAAATAATGAGAAAAATAACGATAAATCTTTTTAGTGAAAGCGACTTTTTTATGGAAATTTGTCAAAGGCGAAATCTAAATGATAATAATCCGTCGAAGCACTCAGTATTCGAACGTTTATAATATAGCTAATATCGTGATATTATCAAGAATTTAACGACGATATAAGAAATTAGACGATACGTGAGGTGTATGGAATCATCTTATAGTTTCACCAAATGAAGTAGCACGATCTGATAATGATAACGACTTGCAGTGAGAACGAGAATGATAAAAGTCTACTAAACCTTTTTATATCGTGCCTTTTATTGGAATTTCCAGTTAATTGGAATTTTACGCAGCGTCAAATTAATGGCGAATTAATAGAATTATTAGAGAAACCCAAAATTCCCTTTTTTTTACCTCTTCCTTACTCTTCGGTGAATTTCATCGAAAAAAATCCTTCAATATAGATTTTATTATTTTATTAAAAGTCTTATATAAGTCATATAAAAAGTCTTTAATAAAAAAGGAAAAACTCACAAAAACTTACAAAAGTTAACTACAAACCAATGAATCTCCCACATCCCTTCATCTCCCTTCTAAACAAATTTTTGTAATTAATAATAAATATTAATAAAACATTAAAATGAAAAATAAAACTAAAGTAAAATTTGAGAAAATCAAAGCAGCAAAAAGTCAAAAAGTCGCTCATTTATATGTCCACAACCATTGCTTTAAGGTTTAACAGTTGCAGAAGAAAATTACTTGATACTTTCACCAGAATATTTTATTTTCTTTACCAACAATTACCATACTTAAGTGCTATTAAATTTTTTTAGCCATAAGTGGCAAAGTGGCAAAGGTTTCTTATTAATTTGCTAAATAATTTTTCTGTAAATTATAAGATAAGTGCTGTTAATTATATAAATTGTAAATTATAATTATAAAAAAATTTATAAATTAATTCAAATTTTGAAAAAATTTTTATAGCAATTTGTGCATGCTAAATGCTGAAGTCATTTATTAAATTAAATTTATGAATTTATATTTATATTCCATTAAATTTATATTTTTTATATATTTATATTTCATATATTTTTTATATATTTTTTATTAATTTGTATTTTTATCATTTATTAAATTTATATTTTTTGAATTTGAATTAGAAACTACAATAGTTTTTTATAATTTTTAATTTATTTCTATTTTTTACCACTTTATTTGTAATATTTTACAAAAAAATTTTTTTGAAAATTTTAGCAATTTTTTATGTTAATCATTGAATCATTGAACCAAGCCAATTCTAATCGATAGAATAAACTATAGAAACCTAAAATATTCAAAGTTATATCTGTTTTTCAAGATTAAGTTTATTATTTAATCCCTGTGTTTTTACCATATTTGTGATTTACAGGAAGCTAAGATATCGCTGTCCTTTTTTTTTAAAAGTCCTTACAATTACTGGTTAAACTCGCTCACCTGGCTTGTCGCATTGGACAAATATACCAAGGAGTCCCTTGGCGATAGAAGTATAGGTAAGTATCATCCTGATTTTTAGACAGGTTTACTCCTACAAGGAATAGAATCTCAACATCAGCATCGTTCCAAATAATAACCCATTGAGCCATTCTATCCTCAGTGTGCTTCTTAAAACCGCAAAAATCAAATTCTAACAAGTTTGTATTTTGTGGCGCTCATTCAAAAATTTTACCAATTCCAAGCATATCTACGAAAAAATACCTGAAATTTTCTTTTCGATATTAAAGAAAATTAGCAAAAATTGAAAATTGCAAAGACCAGCGTAAAAAAAAAATTTTGCAACATATCAAATGTTATTAAAATATTCGCAAATTATTTAACCAAAATTGAAAATAAATAATGAAAAATCCATTAGAAATTATATTTCAAATACCAAAAATTATTTATTAAGGGAATGTACAAGTATAGCAACACTGTCTTCTTAGAGCGTGTGCATATCGTGGATTGTTGCAGAAGGGTTTGTAAGATAGACAGTTGACTCTGCTGTCAATACAAGCCAGCGCAGGCGTTGAACCTAAAGTCGAGCGTTCATGAATGACAATGGAAATTTTGTTAAAAAATAGTTGAAAATCTCGATATTAAATTATTTGTATTAAAATTAATAAGAAAAATGAACAAATGCGTCTCAGAAAATCGGCATTTGAAGCATCAAACTTATTTTTATTGTTTTTCATTATTTGTTTTCATTTATTTGCAATTTTGGTTAATTATCTTATCTGATTTTGAAACGTTGCAATACCATTTTCTTTGAATTAGCCATTCGCAATTTTTGCATGTTATTTTTGCAAATTCTTGCAAATTATTTTGGCGAAAACAAATTGAATAATTTCCTGAATAATCATTGAAAAAATACTAAATTTTTTAGTATTATTTTTTAATATTTTTTAAATTTTTTTTATATTTAGTATTATTTATTTTTTAGTAAAGAATGAAACTTTTCTAAAGAACGAATAATTAGTTTCGTCTTTTATTAATAATGATTCGACGATGTCAGTGGTGCTTCTAAATAATCCAACTGGTTCGATGTTTGTCGTAAAATTAGGAAAACCATAACGAAATTCGATCTTTACGCCTCGCTGCAGCAAACTTTCTTCAAAAAATCTCATTGGTTAGCCTAATTTTTGAAGTATTTTATAAAAATCAATTTGAA